AGTCTAATAAAAATGTGCTTAAATGAAACCTGTAGCAAAATTTGTGTAGGTAAATATTTATCTGAGTCATTCTTCATCAAGAACGGTCTAAAACAAGGAGATCCTTTGTCTCCCTTGCTCTTTAACTTTGTGCTAGAATATGCTATCAGGAAAGTCCAAGATAGGCAGAAGGGTTTGCAATTGAACGGGACACATCAGCTATTGGCATATGCTGATGATGTTAATTTATTGGGAGACGATATGAATACAATAAAGAGGAACGCAGAAGTTTTACTAGAGGCTAGTAGACAGGTGGGGCTAGAAATAAATTCAGAAAAAAACTAAGTACATGTTAGTATCTCGTCGTCAGCAGACAGGCGGACAAAATTATCTTAGGGTGGCTAATAAATCCTTTGAAAGAATTACAAAGTTCAAATATCTGGGAACAATAATAACAAATCAAAATGATACTCAAGAGGAAGTTAGGAGGAGATTAAATTATGGAAATGCTTGCTACTTCTCAGTTCAAAATATTTTGTCTTCCCGTCTGATCTCTAAGAACCTGAAAATTAAACTATACAAAACAATAATTTTGCCTGTTGTTTTGTATGGGTGCGAAACATGGTCTCTTACTCTGAGGGAGGAACATAGATTACAGGTGTTTGAGAATAGGGTGTTGAGGAGGATATTTGGGCCTCGGACAGAATACGATGGAGTCTGGAGAAAAGTACATAATGACGAACTTAAAAATTTTTACTCCTCCTCCAGTCTAGTCAGGGTGAATAAGTCGAGAAGCATGAGATGGGTGGCGCATGTAGCGCGCATGGATGGGACAAGAGGTGTGCACCAGGTATTAGTTGGGAAGCCTGAGGGAAAACGACCGCTGGGGAGACCTAAACGTAGATGGGAGGATAATGTCAGGCGGGATCTATGGTAGATAGGAGTTGAAGGAGAATGGATTTTGTTGGCCCAGGACAGTGTCCAGTGGATGGCTTTGTTTAATTCGGTGATGAACCTTCGGGTTCGGTAAGCCATCTAGTTAGTTAGTTTTGTTGAGTTCTCAACAAATTCACAAAATTTACTCAGTGTGCAAGAAGAAAAGAAGAACTGACTTAACTACAGTTCGATTGAAATTTGAAGATAAAATTTATTGAAGTGTCACCTGATGTGTTTTTGATTTCAATAAGTTCTCAGCAAAAGCACGAGTTCTTATGCCTAATAAACTTTCAAAGCAAAGAAAGAAATTGTCTGCTGTCTGTCTAGGAAGAACTGTGAGTGTGTTTGTCATAAGTTCGGCCAAAAATTCAACATTTGTACCAAAAGAAACAAGCCCATGTGTCACACTGAAAGTAAATATTGTAGTGGCTTTGGATTGGAATTTGAATTTGAAGTTTAAGTAAACTTTATTTTGATTTTATATTCTGATGAGAAAATGATTATATATAACAAAAGAAAAATACAAGAAAATTGCTTCAATTTCTTTCTTAGAATGTAAACTAACCACATCGTCAAAAAATTACAAGGTTCTATTTTCCACGTCCTTCCGTGCTCATATGCCTGTGGGAAATTCAAACACACTTATCTCACCAGATGACACATGGCATGTACGAATGATACAAAAGAAAGTTTCATAATTATGAATTCATATTATGAATGATCTTATTAAATTTGTTTAAAGCAATACTTTCCTAATATGATATACAGGTATCCCTCGTTTTGCGCCGATTCAGAATAACGCTGATTTTGAAACCAGCAAGTCAAAAAGTGAATAAAATATATTTTACTATTATATTTGATGTTTTATAATATTTCTAGTACTGATTCTTATGCCAAATCGTAATTCTTACATCGAAGATTTTGAATACAAATTATAAATGCAGTCACCTCTGCAATTACGTATGTTTCGTTAACGCGAATTTGTTCCAATGAGATCGATGAATCGGTAAAAGCTGTTTGTGAGATGCAATTTCATTCCTGGTACTTTAAACTTTCAAGGGACTAATTTAATCTCTGCGGAGGTACTGGGGTTATTTTTAATACGCGATTAGTTATAAGTCGGCGTCTTATATGAATGCAACTATCGCATAACTGCAGAGATGCCTGTACACATCAATCACATGAAAGAATCGCGGGACCAACGAATTGCCGATTGTAAGTGTATAACATATATTTTTTGAATTCCCTCTATTTTATTTACGTTATTTCAGAGCTTTAAATGTAATGTCATTATATTACTCGTCAATGTTTGGGTGCTGGGAACGCATGTCATTGACTCCCTATTGATTTACATTATAAAGGAGTTTCAATTTACGCTTGTTCGTCCAGGAACGCATCCCCGGCGTAAATCGAGGGCTACCTGTACTCATTTTAATATATGTGGAATGTGTACTATAACGAATTTAAAACAAATATTGAATCCTATCATTTTACTTCTTTATACATTAGTCCTATGCTAATTTCTTTTTGTTTCATTGAAGCCACTTCTGCAACAATTCTCTTTTCTGCATAGTGTTTAACAAAGAACAGACTCATTCTTCACCCCTTGATTTTCTTTTTTTCAGCAATGTAACCTGCAAACAGGACTGGCAGAAAAGTTATCAAATGGAATTTAAAATTTTTCAACTCTTAGAATTGTTATTTTTATTGTTGTATATAATATATATTATATTTTCTTAAATATTATTATAATTCATTGCCCTTTACAGAAATGGGACTCTGTTTCAAAAAGCGGGAAAAATGATTAGGAATGATGGTGGGTTGATAGGGATTTCGAAGGAAGGGATCATGGCCAATCTTTAGGTAATATCCCAGCATATGCCTGGAGGGATTTCGGGAAACCATGAAAAACCCTAGTCAGGATAGTTCGTATCCCGATTGATTTACAGCCAAGTGCCCTTAATACAAGCAAAGTATTGGGTTGCTGATGTCATGTATTTCTTTTTTAGAAGTTTGCTCTCTATAACACAAAATATCTCCATAAATGAGGTGTTTCTTTCATTGCAACAAGAAATTTAGACTCCAGAGTACACAACACATTTAGATCTCAAAATATATTGAAAGCAGTTATGAAAAGGAAAATAAGAAGCAGGTAGGAGGAACTAAATTGTCATTCTGAAACTTAAAATGTCACAAATCAAAATTATTTTTTGCACAATCAGGTGAACAAAAGAAGTAAAAAATATGCATGAAGTAGAATCCTATATTAAAATAACATTTACATTCCTCACAATTTCATTCAAAATACTTGGTGCAAAGACAAAATAGC